ATCGATTGTATGGCCATTTCCAGCTTTATATTTAAACCGTATTATTGATTCATCTGAACGGGCGCATGTTTTTTCACCCTTTACTGCCCTTTTCTATAAATAAGTAAATACGTCAAACACTGGAAACTGCCAGTGTATCAGTCAATTACGAATAGGTTATACAATCAGCCAGTATGAGATGATAGCAATCGTTGGTTAGAGATCTTAAGTGACATGGCTGAAAATCGTTTGCAATGGCGAAGTTGCATCCACTCTTTGTGTTCTGCCAAATTCTAATCTTCTAAATTCTTCATGTCTCTATCTTTTTTCTCTTTCCAAATTTATTTCATTGGATTATACTCCTTCAATAACATTTTCAAACCCTAATCTTTCACATTACTGCCTAAACTCTTACTACTTCTACCACTATGTTATTTGAATCGACAACTGAATCTCTGTGTTAATGTGGTATGGCAACTCGAACTGATGTACGTACGTACGAAGTTCTACGTTGTGACTAACTGATCATCCAGTCTTAGTTCTACCATGTAATGTATACAAAAGAAAAAAGAAAAATTGAATTATTTAAAAGCTTCCATAGACTTGGCGTTTTTGTCTTATTTCATCCCCTTTCTTGTTTATCAAACGTTTCAGTTTTATGTGCCATGTTTATCAAGTCCTGGATGATAAACAGTTTAAAATGGTTTAGAACTTGTGTAACTACTAACCTCTTTCCTATCCTTCTAAAGTTCGTGCTTTACTAGACTATATGTAATTTAATCGATGTACTTAGATGTATTTATTAGGTCTTCCATTAAAGTTCTCATTCAGTCATATCATCATTGTTATCCATGAATTTAGTCAGTCAGTCAGTCACAACGTAGAACTTCGTACGTACGTACATCAGTTCGAATTGCCATACTACATTAGCACAAAGATGCAGTTGTCTATTCAAATTATCCATGAATTAAGTTATTTTATCTTTCTTTTTATTGATGAGACCGAAAAAGAATACAGGTTTTTTCCCTCAGGATTATTGATTTCACGGATTTTTGTTTATTTGATCCATATGTATATATATGTACACAAAGCTAACTTTAACACTTTATCCAGTTTTTGTCATGTTCATATCAAGTTTATACAGCTTTCTACATATAAAAGGTGTAGCTCCTATTGCTTTACCAAGTTAACTCATATTGTGATGGAGTTTTGTTCTCTGAGCTGGTTGGCTTGATCGTGGAGCTTTCATCGTCCTTCTGAACGACATCATCAGCACAAACTTCGCGTACCCGTGCTGATGATGTTCAGAAGGACGATGAAAGCTCCATGACCGGACCATCCAGCTCAGAGAACCAAACTCCAACAAAATCACCCACCTGCGCTACAAATCTTCTCCACCATCTCAATGTTAAATCATAGTTAATTAATTTCTAAAATTTTATTCTGTTTTCCTTTTTTGTTTACTTTTATGCGTATGTATAACTAATTGGGTTAATCGTTTAGACTATGTTTAGGTTCGTAACCAGTTTGTTATTTACACACACACGCATACGCACAACAAATTAGTGAATTGTATTTCCAAAATAATTTTCTTATTTGGTTATCTCTTTTTAATGGTTTTATAAGTATATACTACTTTTCCTAACCTTTTCATAATTTGTTTTAATCAATTTTTAAATGTTATCCCACTATTGATGTAATACGGGCAAAAGTCGTGTGCTGTTACGGGTATGAGAGCTAATATCACTTCCCCGCTGCCCACACTGTGGAAGGGTATTTCTTGAAGGACCTGAAAAGTAAGTTGGATTAATGTTGGTCTTAACGATTTGGGAGCGTGACCGCAGAGTCCAAGAGACAACTGCTTGAGGCTATTGACGCACAGCCTTCTTGTGGGTTTTTTTGACGTGTTAGCTCCGTTCTTCAAAGGGCCTTATCGCCGGAGACGGAAATTTGTGAGGTAAGGTAAGGTGTGACAATTTTACGGTCGACCTTTTCTAACCCCTTCCTTGCTTGTGAGAAGGCAGCATCGCTGTTATGCTGAATGTCCTAGAGAAACAACTTACTGCCGTCTCACCCCTCTACAGTCAGCAGTACGACTTCGCCCTCAGACCTTCAGTTGCTGCTTTTAGTCTCACCGTTCTGCAATCGACCTGCCTGGCATGGTAGAACCCGCAGGAACATACGTTCCAGCCAATAGAGCTGGGTTGGGTCATCACGATCGGCCAGCTTGACCTCCACGTCAAGGTAGCAGCTACGGTCGGAATTGATGTAATACATTAGTTTATTAATTTCAATAGTTGAGATCATGAGTCAATTGAAGCTAGACCACCATAGAAAACCTGTAAGCACTGGGCGGCAGTCTCGTCCTATTATGAGACTCCTCAGCAGTGAGCATCCACGATCCCGCCTCGCGAGATTTGAACCCAGGACCTGTCAGTCTCGCGCGCGAGCGCTTTACTTCTAGACCACTGAGCCGACAGGCATCCAACGGTGTTAACGTCTGATATTAATCGACATATGCTCACTTGTGACTGGCTTCAAGAGATATTTCCTGAAGTTCTAGTGAGAAGCAGTGACCAGTGAAGTTCAACCAGGTCTGTTATGAGATAGTAACTCACTGAAGACATTGGTGGATGTGTCGCTCAATTTCGTGGATCGGTTTAAGTTAGACATTAACGCCGTAGGATGCCGACCGACCCGGTGGTCTAGGAGTTAAGAAGTCTGCATCTATCAACATGGCTTAGGCTATAAGTTAATGACTTCAAGTTCTGATGCCACGTTTTGGTTTGTCCACTCTTACCTTTCTTCTAACCGTCTCCAGCACTAATCAGAATTGTGCGTTGTGGTAATCGATGTTCAAGCATAGGTAACACGTGACCCAACCATCTCAGTCGATGAAGATTTACAACCTGATCAACGGACTCACCATCATTCTCTAATACCCGGTGATCGCAGCAGATGCGAGCAATATTTCTAAGACATCTGTGATCAAATACTAGTAACTTACGAGTATCTTCCATTCTTAATGGCCATGTTTCACAACCGTAAAATAGAAAAGAACAAACTGCTGCACATTATACTCGTCCCCTAATTGATAGACGGATATCTCGTCTTCGCCACAGGTGACGTAAGTTGGCAAAAGCTAAACGAACTTTGCGAATTCCGTGCTTAGATTTCATCAAACACCAACCCATTAGAGTTGATCAGACTTCCAAGATAAATGAAGTTGTAGACGCATTCGACTACTTCACTTCTTCTCCTCAGTTTGTATATTGTGCTTAATTAAATTACTTTGTATATTTTCAATTAAAATTCCTTTCACTGTCAGCTTATATTTCTTTTAAAAAAAAACAGTAATCATTTCTACATATCTTCATTTATATATTTTTAATAAAATTAATATCTTTCTTATTATGATTCGTTATGTAGGTCAATGATGTATAGTTTCCACCAAAAAAAAAATCGTGTCCATCTTTAGAGTCTACATCTTAATGATATAAAAATACCAATAATGTTTCATAGTTACTAAATCCTCATTATTATTATCATTATGTGTGTTTTGATAACCTTTTTCATAATAATCAATCGATCTATATATTTGTAAAACTATGATAATTTATTACATAATTATACAAATATATACGCCCCCATGTGTCCTGGTACGGCCGAGAGTGGAGAGAGTCCGCTCTCCCTCTCGAAATGCTCTACCATGACCACGCGTATATAGCCTCTACCAGGAAAGTCCTACTCTCATTGCCTTCTCATGGCACCGGTGTTCTTTACGAAATTGAGAGGACGAAAATCGAATGTCCGGTGCTTTAACCGGGTTGGTGGACATGGAAAGTTCACCTAGGGGAGTTGGAAAACGCTGATTCAAAACCAATGGTGCACATAGTCTCCAATATACTGAGAGAACAAATGGCGTATAAACCAATCGCTGGTCACCTTCTACCATGGGACTGTATCTCTTTACGGTGCTCCACTGCCTTGTGGACTAGACTTTCAGGTCAAAGACTCGGGGTGTGGCCCCCTAAGAAAATCACGTGCTTCAGTTTGGGCACCTGGGCAGTATCACAGCCCTCACACAATTCAAATTAGATTTGTGGCGCATATTTAACTGGTGCTTTTTGTACCAATATTTATGTGTTTAAATAATAATAATAATAATCTTGGTGCAACAGCTTTTCAGTCAATAAATATAGTAAAATATTCATCGTTAGTGACACTAATACTCCCACTAGTAATAATGTCACTCTTGTTGCCATTTCGTCACCAAATCTTATTCAAGTTATAGTTTTCTCGTAATGTATCCAGTGGAAAACTTGAATACGTTCGAAAATAAATGCAGAATCATCATAGTATTTTTAAATTTTGGTTATTTTAAGGCTCCAGACGAATGGAATAAACTATTTGTGATGTACCTATAGTTCCGACATGTTGATGGAGACGTTTTTTGTTGTTGATTTGGTCGTTGACTCTGTCTGTGTAATGAATCGTTTTGAATCAGCTATTGCGGACTATCCTAGTTGTTTCAGTATTACTGTGTCTTATTTCAGGCTTATCGGACTTATCAATCGTTGGTATTCTACAGTCACTGTTTGTGGCATTATCATTAGAGTCTTGTTCATCTTTATTCAAGAAGCTTTTACAAGTATCAGCATCTCTTGGTGATTGTAGTCCACAGACAAAAAATGAGACACTTGAATTGATCATCTGCAATCAGTCGTTACTTTAGCACTACAGTGTATGCAAAATGTATATGATAGTCTCCTAATACCTTCTCGATTCGTGCTTTAGCACAACGACGATCGGTTGAAAATCGCATGAATCTGCATATTCTATTCTGAACACTGCATATTCATTATTCAATCCTACTACCACGAATCTATATCAATATATTTTAAGATTTTTATTCGTGAGTCGTTTTATATATACTAATGTAAACTGTAATTTATACTTAACTGAATGACTAATATATATAATAGTGAACTCATTTGTACTTACTTTTCTCCTTGTATCAGGGCCGAAATCTCGCAGACTTACGACGTAGTATGCCACGTGGAATATTCTCTACATCTACAATAATACGTTTAAGTTTACAAATTCTAAGCGCTATTGAGGCTATTCATGATGCTGGATTTTTACATCGTGATATTAAACCTTCAAATTTTGCTGTTGGTAGATTACCGACAAATTGTCGAACAATTTATATGCTAGATTTTGGATTAGCTCGTCAATATACAACACCTAAAGGAGATGTTAGACCTGCACGTCCAGTAGCTGGTTTTCGTGGAACAGTACGCTATGCATCACGTAATGCTCATATGAATCGTGAAATGGGTCGACATGATGATTTATGGTCAATGTTTTACGTGCTTGTTGAATTTGCATCAGGTCAATTACCGTGGCGTAGAATTAAAGACAAAGAACAGGTGAGGGTATTTTATGTGTGTTTGTGCGTGTAGTTCCGTTCATATTACAAGGTATGAAAACTTCCACCCTGTTAGCTTAGTTAATCCAACCTGAATCATCGTTGAACATGTACATATATTAAAGTGACTAAACTATATCCGAATAATGATATGAATGTATCAAGATATATCCTGAAGTAGTAAAATTAGTAACAGCATTAATAGAAAAACTCCGCCTGTAGCTCTTCTAGAGTTACTGCCGGTCCCAAGCCCGGGTAAAGGAGGAGGGTTGGGCATGGGGTTAGCGACCCCATCCCGTAGAAAAGCTAACTCGCTAAAAAAACGCTAACCAGAAAAAATAATTCAAACCATTTAAACTCTGCTCTGGGAGTTGAAGGAATAATGACGTCTCATGATGAAAGCCGAAATTCTTCGGAAGTCACGAGACCGATGCACCTTCTAACAACCAGAGCAACACTCTCTATAGGTACATGGGACGTCCGGACAATGTGGGAGACAGGAAAGACCAGCCAAATAGAAATGGAAATGAGGAGATACAAATTGGCAGTACTCGGAATCAGCGAAACCCATTGGACACAAACTGGACAACAAAGGCTAGGTACAGGAGAGATGCTGCTGTACTCCGGTCACGAAGGGGAAAATGCTCCACACACTCAGGGAGTTGCTCTAATGCTGTCCAAAGAAGCAAGAAATGCACTTGTGGGATGGGAATCTCATGGACCCAGGATAATCAAAGCATCATTCAGAACAAAGAAGCAAGGGATCACAATGAACGTTATCCAATGTTATGCACCCACCAATGATAGCAACGACGATGATAAAGATCAGTTCTATGAAAGGCTGCAATCAATTGTAGCAAAGTGCTCACGAAAAGACCTCACCATCCTGATGGGAGATCTAAATGCTAAAGTTGGAGTGGACAACACAGGATATGAAGATATAATCGGACGACACGGACTAGGAGAAAGAAATGAAAATGGGGAGAGACTTGCAAACCTATGTGCTTTCAACAAATTGGTTATAGGCGGCACAATATTCCCACACAAACGCATACACACAGCTACATGGATCTCACCGGACCACACCACAGAGAACCAGATTGATCACATCTGTATCAACAAAAAATTCCGAAGATCAATGGAAGATGTGAGAACCCGGAGAGGAGCTGACATAGCTTCAGATCACCACCTGGTTGTGGCCAAGATGAGACTGAAGCTAAAGAAAGACTGGACAACTGGACAAACAGCACTACAAAGGTTTAATACAGCCTTCCTTCGAGATGCTGACAAGCTCCATGAATTCAAGATAACTCTCAACAATAGGTTCCAAGCTGTACAGGATCTACTGAATGAACAAGAAACTACTTTGGAGGACAACTGGAAAGGGATAAAAGAAGCACTAACTTCAACGTGTCAGGAGGTTCTTGGTCCTAAGAAGCATCATCACAAGGAATGGATATCTCTGGGAACCCTGGAGAAAATTCAAGAAAGGAAGAACAAGAGACTAGCAATTAACAACAGCCGAACACGAGCAGAGAAAGTCAAAGCACAAGCAGACTACACAGAAGCAAACAAGCAAGTGAAGAAAAGCATTAAAGCCGACAAGCAGAAATACATGGAAGAACTAGCAACGACGGCGGAAAAAGCTGCAAGAGAAGGGAATATGAAACAACTATATGATAAGACGAAGAAATTGGCAGGGAGATATAGCAAACCAGAGAGGCCAGTCAAAGACAAAGAAGGAAAGACAATCACTGAGATTCAAGAACAGAAGAAAAGGTGGGCAGAATACTTCGAGGAACTGCTGAATAGACCAGCCCCATTGAATCCACCGAACATCGAAGCAGCCCACACAGACCTTCCAATAGATGTCACTCCACCAACGAACGAAGAAGTCAAGATGTCCATCAAATAAATCAAAAGTGGGAAGGCGGCAGGACCTGACAATATACCAGCAGAAGCACTGAAGTCAGACATTGAAATAACTGCAAACATGCTTCACCTTCTATTCAAGAAGATTTGGGAAGAGGAACAAGTGCCAACGGACTGGAAAGAAGGATATCTCATCAAGATACCAAAGAAAGGAGATCTGAGCAAATGCGAGAACTACAGAGGTATCAGTTTGTTATCAGTACCAGGAAAAGTTTTCAACAGAGTGCTGCTGAATCGGATGAAAGACGCAGTAGACGCCAAACTAAGGGATCATCAGGCTGGATTCCGTAAGGATCGGTCGTGCACAGACCAGATTGCGACACTACGGATCATCGTTGAACAATCAGTTGAGTGGAACTCATCACTATACGTCAACTTCATTGACTATGAGAAGGCGTTTGACAGCGTGGACAGGAGAACATTATGGAAACTTCTTCGACACTATGGAGTTCCTCAGAAGATCGTCAACATTATCCAAAACTCATACGATGGACTACAGTGCAAAGTGATGCATGGAGGACAGCTGACAGATGCATTTCCAGTAAGGACCGGAGTCAGACAAGGCTGTCTACTCTCCCCATTCCTCCTCCTTCTAGTGATTGACTGGATTATGAAGAATTCGACATCTGAAGGGAAATACGGAATACAATGGACAGCTCAGAATCAATTAGATGATTTGGACTTCGCAGATGACCTAGTCCTCCTCTCTCATACACACGACCAAATGCAGATGAAGACAGCAAATGTAGCAGCAGCCTCCGCATCGATAGGTCTCCACATTCACAAAGGAAAAAGCAAGATTCTCAAATGCAACACGGAGAACACCAACCCAATCACACTTGACGGCGAAACTCTGGAAGAGGTGGAAACATTCAAGTACCTGGGGAGCATCGTTGATAAACAAGGAGGATCGGATGCAGATGTAAAGGCGAGGATTGGCAAAGCAAGGGCAGCATTTCTACAATTGCAGAACATATGGAACTCAAAACAACCCTCAACTAATTTCAAGGTCAGAATCTTCAATACGAACGTCAAGACAGTCCTACTGTATGGAGCTGAAACGTGGAGAACTACTACGGCCATCATCAGGATGGTACAAGTATTTATAAACAGTTGTCTACGCAAAATACTCAACATCCACTGGTCGGATACTATCAGCAACAGCGTTTTATGGGAGAGGACAAACCAGCTTCCAGCTGAAGAGGAAATTAGGAAAAGACATTGGAAGTGGATCGTACATACATTAAGGAAATCACCAATGTGCATCACGACTCAATCCCTAACTTGGAATCCGGAAGGGAAGCGGAAAAGAGGAAGGCCAAAGAACACATTACGCCGGGAAATAGAAGCAGATATGAAAAGGATGAATGTTAACTGGAAAGAACTGGAAAGGAAGGCTCAGGACAGAGTTGGATGGAGAATGCTGGTGAGCGGCCTATGCTCCTCGACGAGGGGTAACAGGCGTAAGTAAGTAAGTAATTGGGACCGATTTTAAACTATCTTACATAGACTCTCCAACTATTAATCATCGTAATCAAGCGGACTTTAATCAAATAGTCTTCACTTATAAACTCGGTTCAGTCCAAAAGTCAATGATTTCATGAACTGATGCAACATTTTAGTTTGTCAGCATCATTCTGTCCAACCTGCATCTATACCAGCAAACATCGCATGTTGTGGTAAGTGGTGATTAAGTTTATGAAATATATATTCTGAACAATTAATTTGATTAAAATTCATGACTTTATCTGCCATTTCTATATCTTTACCTAGTATTCCGCGTCTAATCTCATATGTAAGCAATGTTTTCAAGACACCGATGACTGAATACCAGTAAAGTACAAATAAGTCGGTTTAATAAGGTCACTTTTCATCGATCAGCTGGATTAAATCAGTTGGTGTTGTTTAATTAATTAATTTATTTATTTAAACACATAAATATTGGTACAAAAGGGGAACTGAATACATATGTGCCACACAAATCTCATTTGATTTGTGTGAGGGCTGTAATACTGCCCGGGTGCCCAAACTGAAGCAAGTGGTTTTCTTAGGGGACCACACAAGGAGCCTTTGACCTAGAGGTCTGACCCACAACACAGTGGAGCATCGTAAGGAGATGCAGTTCCATGGTAGTCAGTGACCAACGATTGATTCATATGCCATTTGCTCCCTCAGGATTCTGGAGTCCATGCACACTATTGGTTTGGAATGAGGGTATTTCAACTTCCCTAGGTGAACTTTCTATGTCCACCGAACCGTTTAAAGCACCGGACATTCACTTTTCGTCCTCTCAATTGGTGTGAAGTTTCAAATCTTTATCAACACTTTCAATAGTTATTCCATTATTCATCCAATACTTTTTAAACAGCCGTATATTTAATTGAATTCAGTATTCTAAAGATATATGTCAACTTCATACTTTCTTATCGGGTTTTTTAATTTATTAAACGTTATTATTGTTTATTGGCCTAGCTAATCAATCAATAAAAAATGTAGTTGAATTAATCCATTTACTAGGTACAAATCCACGTAGTTGGCTTTGATTTACATCCCAATTTTGAGGACTAGTAACACAATACTATTCGGTTTCTCAGATGGAAGTCTGTTGATCTAGGTTCAAACCTATAAATTTTGTGATTGAAAGTTAAATGTCTTAATCACTAAGCCGTCTTTCAGTCTTGAACTACACTATGTATGTGATGTTTTTTTTGATACCATCATTGAACTGTCGAAATTGATGCATGTAGAATGACTTTTCAACCTGTAATTCATTGTTACCATGTTCATATAGTGTATCTTCCCATAAGTAATCGTAAGCTTAATATTTATTAATCGTTTAGGTATTGTATTGTTTCATGTTACAGAGATGAAGTCATAGTTTCTTGTAAGCCAACGTACTTGAGGATCGTATCATACATACATGCAACTTCCACTACTACCCAGTTTGTCATGAAAAGTGGTCTTTACTTAACGTAACTACCAACTGATACTTATTGTCATATCATCAAATATAGGCTTTAAAACTCCTGTACTGCATCTTGGAAGTCGAAATTAATGTAGACGAGAAGTAGTATCGAAGATGACTTAAAAGCTTGGTAACTTAACAAGACTCTTGCTAGTGTATACGGTAATATTAACGATGATGATTAATATTTTCTTACTTTAGGTTGGTCAAATTAAAAACAATTTTAATCATATGACGCTTACACGTTGTCTTCCAAGTGAATATCGTGCTTTCCTAGAGCACATTGAAGAATGTAGTTATTCAGATCGACCCGATTATACTATGCTTCATGGTCTCATAAAACAAGCTATGATTCGTCGTGATGTTCATGAGACTGATCTTTTTGATTGGGAACAACCTGTAACCGCAATAGATAATCAACAAATAAATCCAACAAATGCACCTTCTATTCCACCTGGATCTGGAGTAAATGACCAACAGTGTAATCATCATGTGGGTGTAGGTTCTGCTACAGCTGGTAATGCACAACCTACTGGTTCCATTGATAGGAGGACTCATGCAACTCAACATTTAGTTACTAATCATCCTCAGCGCTCTAGTTATCAATTTAATCGTAACAATGATGATGTTGTTCAACATCAACGAGTATTAGATACTGTGGGCTTGAGTACTACTGGTATAACCAATAGAGGGAATCCCATGCATCATCTAGTCAGTAGTGTGAATGAATCTTTAAAAGATAGTGTGCCACAACTTTTGAATGGAAAAACCATATCACCCGATTTGATACCAGATGGAGACATGTCAAGGCATAATAATAAAATTCTCTCCCACCTTCCACCTTTACAAACAGCTGATGTAGTCGATGACTTTGGGAATCGTGACCCTGGGAAATTAGTCACAGCTACTGCTAAAGAAAATTTAGACAGCCGTCATAAAGATACAAATGATATTGATAATGGTACAAACGCAAGTCACAATGTATTAGGATACCATTCTGTTGTTCATAATAACAATTTAAGACACTGTAAACATTCAACTTCTACTAAAGGTCTATCTGCTGGTACTTCAAACCGTCGAGCTTCATTGAGACGTTCAAATGCTATGCCTAATAGAAGCCTAACGGAACTTGAAAAATCAGTCGATCACAATTCAGTATCTAGGCCCAACGGCGAACGTTCACTAGAGTCTGCACAATGCAAAAATGATAACTTTATTGAGCACAGACCCTCACGATTACCTGTTATCGTGCCTGCTAGACAATGTCATCGTGACCAACAAAGTAGCGTTGTAGATGTTCATAATAATTCATCCATGAAATCAACACGACCTGCTTGTTCAAATACACGTCCATCCATTTTCATAGCCGATAAATGTATTTTCATGTCTTCGCCTAGAGAAGATGGATACAATGTCATTGATAATGGTGGTAACGATGTGAGCATTTTAACTGGGAATTATGGATACACCATTGACCAAAGTCAAGCGAGTATTGCTCAAATGACCAATGCTATAGCAATTAGTACTGTAGGTGGACGCTATGGATCGGGATCATTGTCTCGTTTAAATCGATTGAATAGTAATGCAGCGGGTTCAATGACCCAGCTAGCTGGTTTATGTTTATCTAGTCAAGATTTAGTTGATATTGATGGAGATATCAACACTGGCGGCGGCGTTGATGGTGGTTTAGGTGAAACAATAAATGATAATCAGAATGTAATGTTGGACTCGTCAAATATTGACTTACCAAATGAATTAATCGATAAGAAACCTGGTGAAACTATAACTGATAAATGTCCTGTTACCGATGTTTCTGCTCATCCTCAAAATACTGTTTCAGATATTGGAACATCGGATGTCAAATCTACTCATCCGGTTTCAACGAATAATTCCACTATCGTAACTACAACTACAACCAATTCACAATGTATCAAAAAAGTCGATAACATTAACAATGATATTGCCATTGTCGGTGCATTGGATGATGATATTGGTCGTGGTGATTTTATCAATAGTTCATTTAGTACAAATGACAAGGGGTTGACAACTAATGTAAAATCCTTATCAACTAGTAATCTTAAAAAGTCGAATTTAAAGTCAAAATTGTCTGGACGTCTGACCACTACTACTACTACTAGTACGTCAACAACAACACCATCAATATCATCTGGACGTCGTTCAAGGTTGATTCGATGTAATTTCGATGAAATCTCTCATCATTCAGAAGGTTTAAGACGATTCTCTATTAGTAATGTTAATTGTAATGATGAAAAATATTCTATGAGATTGACAAACTCTAATGGATCATCACTACATGATAATGACAGTTGTAATTTATTGCATAAATATTCAGTAGTTAATGGTTGTAAACCAGTTCCTGCACCATCACGTCAACGACATAGTTTAACACCTACATCTTGGCAACAGCAATCTCGTAATCGTGGTATCAATAATAATAATGATAATAGTTTGCATGAAAATCATGATAAATCATCTGTGAATAATTATGAAGTGTTCACATCATCTGGTGATCATTCAAAATTATCCATTAACAATCATCTAATCAATCCTAGTACAACTGGTTCATTCAGTCGATCAGATAAAAATACTACTACTACTACTACTACTAATAATAATAATAATAATACAAATCGACAAATGCTTGTAAATGATTCTCAGTCGATTAGTAATCGTTTTCACAATGCAAGTCGTAGTCGAACTCCGTGGAATAGTAATACTTCAAATAATAATGGTTATAATAAGTCACGTAGTTTAAGCACTGTTTCTGTAAATAATAATAAGAACGGTAGTAGTAGATCACATATTAACTGGAATCGTAATGGTTTAACTGAACTTCAAGAGAATAATAATAATATCAATTGTTTATCATCATATAATGGTAATGTATTTGAACAACGACCATCAAATGAAATCAATACTGATGATATAGGTCATGTCATTAGTAGTCGACGATTTCGTCGAACATGCATTCAAACATTATTACCAAAATCATCGTGTACATCATCTCAACAACGCCAACTCCTAGTACCACCACCACCTCCTTGTGAATCATCAAGTGATATTGATTCCGATGATAAACATCCAAAATGTTTAGAAATAAATTATCATAATAAAGAAATAACAAATCTTATGAATAATAATCATCATTCATCTTCTTTGATACAACATGGTAATGAGAATGGAATTGAAAATGATCCATGTAATATATTAAATCATCATTATTCTAATGATAATAAAGAGATTATTGTTACTAATCATTCAAATAAACAAAGAAAAAACCAACAATTAGATGAACATCATCAATCATCTACTGGTATTACTTCGGTTAAGAATACTAATAATGGTAATTCTAATTCGTCGTCATCATCATCCTCGTCATCTTCTTCAACATCATCTTATGATATTATTGCATCGAATGGTTTAATTCAATGTTATAATAATGTGATAAATGATTCAAATGTATTAATGAATAATAATAATTCTTATACATCTTCACCATTAATAGTATTTGTTCCTAGACCATCAACTAATTCTATATTATATCCTAATAATAATGCAATGATAGCACGTCAAAGACGTTATCATCATCCACCATCATCATCATCATCATTAGATCTATCTAATTTAACATGTAAATTATCATCTATATTAAAAAAAAATGAATCTATTGAATTAAATAATGAAAATTATAATAATATAAAACAATTAGATAATAATAATGAACAAATAAAATTGAATTTTTTAATGAAATCAACTAATACTACTAATAATGAACAATGTTTATTGAATTCATTAAAGAAAGAAATACAATCATCAAATTTAATTGATCATAAAAATCAATTATGATCACTATCATCACCAACACCACCACCCCCACAGCAACAACAATTCATGATCTCTATTCCATTTTACATAATAATGATAATCATAATGAATAATGTTTATTGAATTCATTAAAGAAAGAAATACAATCGTCAAGTGTAATGAATTGCATAATCATAATTGATTTTTTCTCACTTGATCCATTTGAACAAAAATCATTACCACCACCACCACCACCGCCACCCCAGTAACAACAAGGACAACAACAATTCATGATCTCCATTCCATTTCATATAATAAATAAATAAAAAGTTTACTCTTTGAATGTAATATATAAATGAATTGAGAAATATGAAGCATTTATATTATTTATGTACTGAATATATTCTGTATATACTTACTCCTCATGGAGGAATATAGGCGATCAACCAAGATTCTCCATTTAACTCTTGTCATGGACAATTCATCCTAGTTACTATCTAATTTTGCTAGAAAAACAAACAAACAAACATTTTGTACATAACTATCTATTTCTATTTTCTTGAATATCTCTAAATTATTTTGTGCTATGATCATTTGATCTTCATCTTTCTATTGGATTTATTTTTCTATGCATATTCAAGCAATATCAATAAAGATTTGGGCTTCCTTTCTACAGATATCTATCTCTATCTTATTTATCTAGTTACTAGAGCTTATTGTACTTTATTTGAATAAGACAAAAAAAAAACAACAACATAGATTCTCATCTATTTGGCTTCCTCCTTTCAAAACCTTTTACCTCAAATCTTTATAAGATACATAGAGATGTATATCTATCTATGTGTGTGTGTGTATGTGTGTGGTTACCAGAAGTCTTTCTTTTCTTTTTCATGTGTATGATTTTTGTTTCTTCTTTATAAATTTTTAAACAAATAAACACTTATTGAGAAGAAGCAGAAGAAAGAAGTAGGCTAACTGAAACTACCTTATTCTACTTATCCTTATAGTTGCTAACTGATTTGTCAATATTCACAGCTAATAAATAGGTGTAAAAAATTGATTCTATCATATGTTTATGGTTAAAATTACTTATTGAATAGTTTTTTCTTTGATTTCTTCATTGTATAAAAATAAACAACTTACTGTTATCATCATCATCATCATTATCGTCACCACTTGATGCTTGGAATTCTTTCATTCGCTTTAATTTATTGTAACGTATAGATAAAGAACAGTTGAAGATGATAATAGAGTGACATTTGTCAAAGGGACACAAAATGAAGATTGAGGAACTGTATTATTCTTTGTATATGCATATTTTACTTGTGTATATTGATCTTTATTGAAGAAAAAATATGAATCAAAGGTATAGATTGATCCAGAAGTTTATCAATTGTATGTATTGTTGAATAGAATATTACTTTAGTGTTCTATATGATTGATATGTTTATTGAGTCTTTCTTCATTCATATAACTGAGAATATGGACGTTTAAAAAAACATTTAGATTCTTTATTGAGAAATAGTCATGTATGGGAAAGAGCTCTATTTCTATCTCTTCCTGTATAGAATTCAATTTATCTTTAACTAACCACCCCATTTTTTTTTATTGGGTGTTACTAAGACATTTGAACTAGATAGTGTATATGGCTTAGTTTAGTGGCTTCTATTTCACTTTTGTAACTTTCTATCTTTTTTCCCAGAGGGCAAAAAAATACTTTCTACAATGTCAGATTTCGATTTAGTACCTTTTTTTTTGTTTTGTTTTGCCAAATACATTTTGAGGAGAAAAGAAAGTATTAGTTCCATGAGTGCCAAAGTCTTATTCAATCTTCTCCATGTTAAGTATCCTATAATCCTCCTTGATTACATTTCGTCTTAGATACACTTTAGATGTTGTTGCTTTTTTTTTTAAACTTCTTAATGCCAATATTTATTTCTATTCTATATCATCTTCCATTGGAACTAAACAAGACAAGATAAATTGATTGATTGATTGATCTATAGTACTCATTATCCTTTTAATGTAAATTTACTTAATTGTTCCCCCCTCTTTAATCTTGTTTATTCTAATCTGTATCGCTAAATAGAAAGAAACAAAAAAACAAAAAAAAATCATTATTTTTTTAAAGTTTATCTCCATGATAGAAACAAAACAAAAATACATTTCCTTATTGACGATGATGATATAATGATGAAGATGGTAACCATTTTTGTTAGTTGCTATGATAGTGATTTATTGTTGAATGTAAAATTAAAAAAAAAGATTTGATTAGTTTAGTTGATTATAATAATAGTGGTAATACTACTACTACTACTACTACTACTAATAATAATAATAATAATAATGATCAGTATTATTATTACTATGACAACAATAAAAGTGTTATACTACTTACAATATACTGATTTAGTTACATATTGTGTATTTATGTGAAGTGTATATAGGACAAAATTTACTTTCTGATTAGTGAATGAAAACCATGATTAAGTTATTTATAATTAAATAAATTTTATTTGATTAGTGATTTAAGTATGGTTTTATTGTTATGAATTATAAAATTTGGTTATAGGCATAGATATTTGGTACAAGGGGGCACCAGATATATATCCGCCACACATCTCATTTGATTTGTGTGACAGCTGCGATACTGTCCAGGTGCCCTAACCGAAATAGGTGGTTTTCTTAGGGAGCCTTTCACCTAAAGGTCTCATCTACAAGGCAATGGAACATCGCATAGGGATACAGTCCCATGATAGTCGGTGACCAACGATTGGTTCGTACGCCATTTGTTCCCTCAGGATACTGGAGCCCATGTGCACCATTCGTTTGAAATGACGGATTTCCAACTCCTCTAGGTGAACTTTCCGTATACAACAACCCGGTTAAAGCGCCGGACATTCGCTTTTCATCCTCTCAATTTCGTAAACAGCATCAGCGCCACGATAAGGCAGTGAGTTGGACTTCCCTTGCAGAGGCTATATATGTATGGCCATGTGAGAGCATTTGTAGAGGGAGAGCGGACTCAGTGGTCTATCGGTTAAGTGCTCTGGCGCGAGACTGGTAGGTCCTGGGTTGCAGTCTCACGAGGCGAGGTCGTGGATGCGCATCGCTGAGGAGTCCCACAATAGGACGAGACGGCCGTCCAGTGCTTCCAAGTTTTGAGGTAAGATGGTGGTTGGAGGTGGTCAACAGGAAACCCTGGACCCGGGTTTCGTGCTACTTGGCACTCGTCAGCAAGGTGTACCTGTAATCCTGAGGGAACTGATGCTCCCAGTGTCGAGCCACCTAGTCTGGTGGTCACATTGCAACTCGATCGATAGCATTCGATCAGCACTAAGAAAGACCTGACACGCATGAGATTGATCACCATCCAGTGATCAATCAATTGTGCTTCCAAGTTTTCCATGATGGTCTAGCTTCAATTGACTCATGATTTCAACTATGAAAATACTGAAATCTCCACAAAACCCTTTCAGATGCATAAATATCTGTACTTTGAAGTTAATCTCTTGTAGATAATTTCTATTTGTTTATTCAACTGATTTTTATGTTATAAAATGAGATTAACCATTTTCTAATTGATCAATGTTATTAGGCTTTTTAGAAGAGTTTTTTGTGGAGATTTCAGTAATTTCATAGTTGGAATCATGAGTCCATTGAAGCTAGTCCACCATGGAAAAACCTGGAAGCACTGGATTGGTTGAAGTTAGATATTAACAATGTTGGACGCCGGTCGGCTCAGTGGTCTATCGGTTAAGTGTTGGAGCGCGAGACTGGTAGGTCCTGGGTTCGAATCTCGCGAGGCAGAATCGTGGATGTGCATTGCTGAGGAGTCCCACAATAGGATGAAACGGCCTTGCAGTGCTTCCAGGTTTTCCATGGTGGTCTAACTTCAATTGACTCATGATTTCAACTATGAAATTAAGCATTTCATTCAATACAAGCTGTCTATTTATATTGTCCAAGTGACATACAATATAAAGTCTGGACAATATCCAAGTATATTTATGATGTATCTATCTGGTTATTCTATATATAGGTTAGTAATATTTTCATTCATAGCATTAACACCTCATTAGATCTTTAGAAATTCGATCTCAAATTTTCATTACTACTCAGTACTTCATTTAATTTGAGTTATCCAGTCAGTCAGTCACAACGTAGAACTTCGTACGTACGTACAAAGTTATGGTTATGGTAGCGAAGTAAACTACACTCCATGCAATTTTGAAAGTCCAATTTTTATTCCGCTGAGATATCCTAACTTAAAACAAAAGAGTTACTTATGACTACCTAATTCTCGATAGTTTTCTAGTTTATGTGATTATTCTTTATGGTGAATTTCATTTAGTCAGCTACAACGTCGGACCAGGCACATTTATGCATCGGTCCAAGTTGCCATACCTCGTTAGCACAATAAGATGAACAAAGAAGTAATTAATTTAGTGGTGGTAGTATATAAAAGAGGGGTTGTATATAACAATATATAACAGGAAGAAAGGCAGATATGAAGGAATCTTAATCTCAAGGTTCAAGGGAAGATAAAGAATGTATACACCTACGCCATAGTGATCGATTCTGAGCCATGTCACCTAGAGTCTCCAACCATTGGTTACGATAGTCACGCAGATCCCAACCAAGTATTCTGCATCTACCAGTTGGCTCAGACTGGAAATTAGTGACTTTGTGGACTGATGCCATGTTTTGGTTTGGCCGCCCCTAACTCTCTTCCAACCATCCCCTACAGTAGTCAACATAACGAGTTGTGGTAATCGGTGTTTAAGCATATGTAACACTTGGCTCAACCATCTTAGTCAATGAAGATTCACAACTTCATTAACTGATTTAGTGAATTTGTTTAACATACAAAGTCTCTATGTTATTTGTAATATTGTTTTCTTTTTTCTTTTACAAATAATAATCACTAAATTATTCCCTATTGTGTAATTAAACAATATACTTTTGGATGTTTACTATTCGTGTACATTTCTGTCATGCTACATTTGTTCATCCTTTCTCACCCTTTCTCCCCTCCTCTTTCCTTCTCTCCCTCCCCCCCCCTCTCTCTCTCTATATATATATATATATACCATAGTACAAAACGTTGATCTCTTCATTTCATTGAATTGAAGTATAGTCATATGTTACTAGGCATTGGTAAATCAATAGGAAGAAGTTAGAATTTTCTCCTGTTCATGTGATGATTTTAGTTTTATAAAAATTAATAAATAATAACTTAGCATACTGTATACAAAAATTTAGGTAAATTGAAATACCCAATTATATGAATGATTGTATTTATTCAGTTAGATATAATCAATTTAAACCTTAGTATAAGTGAATAGAACATAGATTAAGGAAAGCACAAAACTGCGTTACAAGGCAAATCCTCAATTGGAGTCGTCAAGGATGACTAAAGAACACATTATGCCGAGAAATAGAGACAGATATGAGAAGAATGAACAACCATTGGATAGATATAGAAAGGAAAATTCTGGACAGAGTGAGTTGGAGATTGTTGGTCAGCAGCCTATGCTCCTTGACGAGGGGTAACAGGCATAAGTAAAGTAAAAGTAAACAAATATTCTTCAAAACTAATTGTTATATTATACAATGACTAACTTTGATACGGATATACAAACTTCTTATACATAAATTAATGGGTTATTCGAGTGACAAGATCAGAATTTTCAATACGAATGTTAAGACTGTATGCGGCGAAAACCTGGAGAATTACGAAAGCCATCATCATCCAGAAGATACAAGTGTTTATTAACAGTTGTCTACGAAAGATACTTCGGATCCGTTGGTCAGACATTATCAGCAACATGCTATTGTGGGGGAGAACAAACCAGATTCCATCCAGAGGAGGAAGAAATGCTGGAAGTGGATAGGATACACATTGCGGAAATCACCCAATTGCGTCACAAGACAAGCCCTCACATGGAATCTTCAAGACCACAGGAGAAGAGGAAGACTACAGGACACCTTTCACTGAGGAATGGAAACAGAGATGAGAAGAATGAACAAAAGTTGGATAGAATTAGAAAGGAAGGTCTATGACAGAGTAACAGGCGTAAGTAAGTAAGTATTCCTTTATGTATAAATATATCATTCTTGAGAAATCCAAGTTGTTTTTTCAACACTTATATTCACTTATTAATTGATTCAATGTACAACCTTTCTTTCCTGAAAACAGGTCTGACTTTTGGGATTTAATTGTAAGAATTGAGGTGTGTGTTGATCATGAAGAGTTAGAAAGGCTTAACATTGATAAACAGCGTTTAAAAAAAGTTTGCATAAAAGAATACATTCAAACTAAGTAAAAAGTGAGTGAAGTCATGTCCCTGTTACTGATTTTGATCCATGTTACTCATCATTTCTAACTACTGATTATAAGGTACATAACTGCGTAGTTTGGATTCAATCAAACAGTCCAACAATCAGTGATCTTATAGACTAATGCCACATCTCGAACTGATTATTGACCTCTGGGAATATCTAATGAACTGAACAGATTGTGGAGTTATTTACAAATTGATTGCAGTGTATATGTTTTTTTCAGTCTACGATGAACCTTCAGTTGATAAATGTAAGAATTTGAATTATGGAATCAGAAAACAGAAATTGATATGAATTCTTAAGGCCTTTCTGAATAAAATACATGAAAAAATAAATAACTTTTCTTATTTACGCCTGTTAACCTCGGTCGAGGATCATAGGCCGTTCTGAACTTACTTACTTCTGTTATCGCCAACAGAGCATAGGCATCCGATCAGCATTCTCTAAACCACTCTATCCTGAACTTTCCTTTCTAGTTCTATCTAACTTTTTTCATATCCGTCTCCGTTTCTCGGCGTAATGTGTTCTTTAGTCATCCTCTTCCCCCTAATTCCCTGGGGAGAGTCCGTTCTCCCTCTCCAAATGCTCTCACATGGCCACACGTATATAGCCCCTTCCAGGAAAGTCCTACTCACTGCCTTCTCGTGATGGGGGTGTTGTTTACGAAAGTGAGAGGATGAAATGCGAATGTACGACGTTTTAACCGAGTTGGTGGGCTCGGAGGGTCCACCTAGGGGAGTTGAAAAACCCTGATTCCAAACCAATGGTGTACATGGTCTGCAGTATCCTGAAGAAACAAATGGTCTATAAATCAATTGTTGGTCACCGGCTGCCATGGGATTGCATCTCCTCACGATGCCCCACCGCCTTGTGGATTAGATCTTTAGGTCAAAGGCTCCGTGTTTGGCCCCCTAAGAAAGCCACCTGTTTCGGTTTGGGCACCTGTGCATTATCACAGCTGTCGCATCAATAAGTTGAC